TGTTTATTTAAATGTTCCTTCTTGATTTGAACATTTGCAAATGCACAAGACAACGGAATAAGCAGTAGAACTAAATACATTTTAAAATATCTATATTTTAAAACTTTGTATCGTTGAAGAATCTGAAATTAATTTAACTGAAATGTAGTCAGTTTTTTCTTCTTAATTAGTTCATGACTTTGAAATACATTTATATTGTCGAAGTTAAGAAACTATAAATGCGAACACTACAAGTATAATGATTTCTCGAACGTCATAATTCTCATTTGGTTCTCTGTATCCATTTCGTTTAGCATCATCATTTGATAATATGCAAATTACCAAGTTTCACATATATTTTGTGAGGACAGTATTCGTAATGAAGGCAATCAAGGTTCACTTAATCCCTCTTTCAAATAAAGAAAAGCTTTCACGATCAGCGATGTGTTATCATAAATATAATTGACTATTTTACATCAAGAAAAAATATGCTCTATGATGCTGTTTTTCAGATCATAATAAATGATGCCTTTTACTTTTAATGATGGTAGGCTGTACATTTACGTCTAAGTGACATACAAACATAAAAACATAAACGATTTGTTGTAAGATAAACTATTCCTACTACCTTGACGTATTTAATCTGTATTTCCCATCATAATTACCTCAGTGTATTCCCCTTACAAGCTTAATTGATCACATGGGTACAAGGTTTAAAACGCAATAAAAAAAGATCTGACACAATTTCCGTTTATATTTAATATTTCATCGTTTTCCTCTATTTATGAAAAGTGGTCAAAATATGTTTTGTACTAATAGAAATGTCAGATGACGTCGACAAAATTCCCCACAGATTCAACTGCTATTAATGACATGTTTTATATTCACTTACAAAATTATTGTAAATGCTCATCTGATACCTAAAGAATTCCCCGATCCCAATGTCACAGTTCTGAAAAAGTTTTACTTCTTTCAATAATGTTTGAAACTATAATCTATCTGTTTGCACCAAGATTAATCTGTTTTCAAATACATGTAATGAATTATAAAATTATTTCTCGACAAGATTTTTTGGTTCCTGTTTAATTTCGCATTGGTAATCAATTTAAGTCGTGAAAAATATATCTCATATTTATTCATTAATGTTAGGGGATAACATATATAAAAAGCACACAGTGGCGCAACTTTGATTTTTTGTTATGCTGAAATCATTTTGAAACAGACCAAAACGAAAAAAGCAAAGTATCAAATATTTTAAATGAAGTGCACAAGCACTATGAACATTTTTATGTCTTGAGTAAACGTTTCTCTTTATTCACATTATTTATTTAAAAAGACCAATATAATAAAGTCATAATAAGTTTATAATAAAACAGTTCAGATTTAATTAGACTTCAAAGGTATGCATTCAAGCGACTTATCAGTTTGTAATAAAACAAATCAGCTTTAATTAGACTTCAAAGGTATGAGTTCAAGCGAGTTATTAGTTTGTAATAAACTAGTCCAGGTTTAACTAGACTTCAACGGTATGCGTTCAAGCGAGTTTTACGAGTATTACGTGCCTGAATACTTAAGTTAAATATTCTTTTTTTAATTACCTCTGTATAAAAGTTTTGAAAAAAAAAGAAAAAAGAGATTTTTATTGCAGTGGAATCTCTGGGTAATTCATAAACTCACTTAATGACAGACCCTTTTAAAAGTAAATTAGCCTACTAAAGCCAATGTTTTGTTTATTGAACATAACAATAAAAAGTCACAATAGGACAAATACTTCATTAATATTTTATAAAGACTTTAAAACAAAATATTCTACAATAGGTTAACCACAATTCCAGATTCGCGCATATATTTTCGGATTTTCTTTCAAAACTTTCCCGATAATGCGTTTTTTGCAACCAGAGAAAAGGCATATCGTCATATTTAACATATACTCTCAATTGCATGTCTTTTCTTAACTAAAAACGGTTCAATACAAAACAGTAAAATTTATTTTATGCAATTACCAAGGAGTAGGTTAAAGAATTACAAAAAACGGACTTTGAAACTAGAAAAGTCTTTACAATGCATTGATTTTGTGGCTAACAAATCTTTTTTTTAAAAAAAAAAATTACAATCGTACTCCGTCTTTAACTATTTTTACCCGCTTCCAAGTCTACCGTGTCTTTTTCAGCAACGGTCATTTATATGGCAGCATTTCCGGCTGTAGTAGCAAGTAGAATTTAATGAATATCTATTGTCAAATGCTTAAAGCGACATCTTTTAACGCAAAAATAAGACATTAACGCGTGTAACTGGAGAGAGGCTTATCTTTTTGGATAATAAGTCACAAAAGTTTTTTTTTCTTTAAAATTACTGAAAAAAAAATTGTACCATTACAGATTTAAACCCTTTCCAAAAATGCATGTGACGTTGTTAAAATTAATTGGAAAAACTACAGGCCCCGCCTAAAGAAATAAAGTTACGGTTCCATTGGGGGAAATTTGGGCAGTTTTTTCTTTTTTTTAACGAATAGAAATAAAGTTTAAACTTTAAAATTAAAATTTTCCTTAATTTAGACCTTTTCTATCAATGTAATGTGTCTTAAAAAAATATTCAAAAGTTTTTTAATTTAAAAATCAATTTTCAAACAAAAGGGCAAAAAAAAAGTCCTTTAAAATTTTTAAAAAAATATGAGTTTTTGACTTCCGTTTTCCCATTTCAAATTTTAAATTTCAAAATTAATTTTTAAAAAAAAAAATTTTAAATATATTAATGAAATAGATTTTTCAATTTTCATAAGGTTAAAAAAATTAAAGTAAAAGCCATATATTTGTTGTCTGTTGATTGTAAAATAATTTGAAATTATTGGTTCAAGAATGAATAATGTTATGGTTGATTTGCCTTCATCATATAAAGAGCAAGACGTATATATTCTAAAGAGTAAAGACACACTATACAAATATGAACACATATTGGCTAATGAGAAAAGACTATATTTAAAAAGTGAACATAAATAATTTCATTTCATATGATCAAACGAAACTGGGTGTATTTATCTCTTCGTTTTTAGTAAGATACTCGGTGGGTATACTTTAAGATTTTAGTGTTGTTACAAAAAGGAGTTGCAGAAAATAAGGCTCTAATCTTTTCATTTTTAATTCTAACAGAAATATTGAAAATTCAAATTTGTTCGCAAAAGAACTTGTTGAAAGCCACTTTTGCCTCCTCTCACAAAAAAATTCCAGTGACCGGAAATGATGAAAATGGAACATTTTCTGAAATTAAGCTTTAGAAAGAAAGAAACATATTCGGTTATAGTATGGCTATCATGTGTACTCGTAATGTATTTCTATATCTATGTGTAAAAGTATGGCCTATTTTCATGGTAAGTGTAAATTTAATAACGCCGATAGGAAATCAGTCTTGCTCGAAGACTTCGAGGACAAGCTAGGTGCGATCTTCTGTGATATATCTGACTGGCAATTTGTAAGTATATCTTTTGACTCGAAGTCTACTTCAACAGCGGAATTCAACGTTTTTTTTAACTAAACAGTTTTCTACAATCAATTTTCAAGTGCTAATCTGTTCTCAAATATGATATACCATAATAAATAAGTAATTCCAAATCATGACAGTCACATTTGTTATTGCCTTTGCCTATTGCCTCTAAAGGACAAATGATCTTAGACTTAAATACATGTATAATGATATTTGTTTTGTGAACATGAGGGATTAGGATTTGATCACATGTGGAGAAATTTGTAATCATTTGTTAGCAGAGCTGCATTACTGGTACTTCAGTATGTACTGCAGTGGTTTTGCAAGTACTGGTACTGATACTGAATTACTCTTACAAAACATTATGCAAAATGTTGCTACTACTCGTACTGGTACTTCATTACTGTCTTAAAAAGTAGTACTGCTACTGCTAAAAACGTTTAAATTGAAAAACATGCATTTAAGTTTTTATTGTTTTCTCTGTTGCCCTTTCCAAGACAACCTGCCGGAAACCTTACATTATTTGAATCAGCATACGCGTTTGCAAATAGTTTGCAAATAGTTCCACCAGGTTTTTCTTTTCTAAAATCACTTCGCATATATGGTAATCTTAGTCATCACCATGCAGAAAAGCGTTATGGATATTTCATTAACTTGTGTATCGTTTAAATTATTTGAACATTTTCTGCTCTCAGTCATGTGAACAGATATTTCTGAAATTTTTGTTTCTCCTGTAGCTTTGGGATCTGGGGCTTGACCCCCTATCCCCTACAATCACCCCACTCAAAAGAAATAAAAATAAATAATAATCATTAGCAAGTGCGCTTTTGTTGGAAATTGATTGACATTACAGGTAGATAATTAAGTGGTTTGTCGTTTTACTAGACAAGTATAAGCCGTGTCATAAACGATCTACATAAAAGTACACCCTGCACGGGAGTGTGCCTGTTTAGTTTAAATAGAATTATATAAAAAAAAATGAAAAAGTTTCCATGATATATATTTACGAATGAAACTATTTTTGTAAAAATAATATATAATTCATAATTACCCTTTAATTTGAATAAAATTCATCTAAAATTTCCATAATGGCCCTTTTGTTTTAAAAATGGTTTGTACTTCAGTGTTATTGACGATACTTGGCTTTCTCTAATTTCCTTTGATTTATTAATAATTTACTAAGCACCGGCGTTGTCAATTGTTGACAGTACTATGGCCTGTAAATTGAATATTGACTCATACATTTTGGCATTATAAATTTATTAGGATTCAAGGGAAATTTTTGACAGGAAAAGAAAATTAATCCTATTCAAATAGTGAATGTAAATGATATAATATTTGATGAGCCTCTTTTGAAATAGCCAATGAATAATATATTAATTGAATAGCCTACATAATGTTAGGCATTTTACAGAGAGAAAGCATGCGAATATAAATAATTACTGTACGGGCAAATGAAATTGAACTTATTTTTGAGATGAAGTTAAATTTGGTTGTTTTTTTTTATCTTTGTATCAAGGAATTGTTCGGTTAAGTAAGGAACTCGGTGCTTCTACTTTTAGATTCTAATGTTATTTAAAATAATTATCTAAAATAAAATCTGCAGTTATACACATTGTTTTTGCAAGAAATTTTCTAAAATATTATTTGTTCGGAAAAGAAATTATTTAGGACAACGAAGTTGCAAAATAGATTTGATCTGACAGGAAGTGATAAAAATGGAAACTTTTTGTGAGAAAAAAAATCCAAAATTAAGTTTTGGAAAGAAAGTAACGTACTTAGTTCTAGTTTGGCTGTCATGTGCTTTTGCCAATGATTGTGTGAAGCCATTCCAAATGAAATCAGAATTCTTGAATAAACGTCTTAACAAACATTATATCGTAGAATTGAAAGTTCAGAACCTACACATGTGTGCTCGTGAATGTTTTTATGTTTCCATGTGTAAAAGTATGGATTACTTTCATGGTTCGTGTAAACTTAATGACGCGGATAGCAAATCTGTTTCGCAAGGAGAATTTCAGCACAAGCCAGGTTCGATCTTCTCGGATGTTTCAGACTGGCCCCATGTATGTATATCTTTAGGCTTTTAATCTCCTTCAACTATCACATTCTGTCCACATTGTTGGGCTTACCACTCAATTCGAGTAATTCGAGTTGATGTACTATATAAGATGAAGGCAAATCACCGATTTGGATATATTATTTCGATTCTAACACGACTCCAACAAATAAATGCTGCCGGACCTGATATTTAGCTAAATTGCGCCTGATTTGTTTCCGTACTAATTGTCAGCGCGTCACATTTTTAGTGGTAACGTCACGTGTATTATGATTACGTCACATGTCTAAATATAGAACGTCAAACAGCATATCCTAACACGACTCGAATTTTCCCTATTGAACATAGAAGAACCGAAAGTGTGTGTTGTAATGCTATAAAATCACTGTTTGACGTTCTATATTTAGACATGTAACGTATTTATAATACACGTGACGTAACCACTAAAAATGTGACGCGCTGACAATAAGTACGGAAACAAATCAGGCGCAATTTAGCTAAATATCAGGTACGGCAGCATTTATTTGTTGATGTCGTGTTAGAATCGAAATAATATATCCAAATCGGTGATTTTATTGCTTGATAACACCACTGTTAGTCGTTCGGATGCGCATCATTATATCACTCGGGCTACGCCCTCGTGATATAATTCCTCGCATCCAAACTCCAAACAGTGATGTTATTGAGCAATAAAATCACAGTTTGGGATATATTATTTCTTAAATAATACACACTTTCGGTTCTTCTATGTTCAACAGGGAAAAATGCGAGTCGTGTTAGAATAGTTTATATATTATAATTTACACGCAAAAAAGCAAATAAAAACACTTTCTCTCTTCTGTAACCGTTATATAGAGGATATTTGTTTAGTTCAGTGTAAGATCGGAATATATATTTCACCGAGTGAGCACCAAAAGGTATATTTCACGAGTGGCGCAGCCACGAGTGAAATATGAACTTTTGGTGTTCACAAGGTAAAATATATTTCAATCTTACACTAAACTAAACAAATTTTCTTTTTATTACATGCAAAGAAACGTTTTAAAAAGACATTTAACCTAATACTGAATGAAAAGCGCGCCAAATAATAATACAACGTGTCGTCATTTACGACGTCACGTCATTAAGTTGGTACCCAGTACTGTGCACGCCGGTATTTCACTGAAACAACGTAAGGGGCTAAAATTCAAAACAGTGAAATTATCAAAGTGGTATTTTCACTGTTTCAAACAGTGAAATTACCAGTTTTATATCACTGATATATTTCTATAAACCACCGAAAAGCATGTAATAAATACAATTTAATCTCATGGGTGGTTAAACCAAAATGAGCTTTCAATGCTCGTGTACATTTAAAAGTTAACATATTTGAGCCGCGCCATGACTAAACCAACATAATGCGTTTGCGACCAGCATGGATCCAGACCATCCTGCGCAATTCGCGCAGTCTGATCAGGATCCATGCTGTTCGCTATCAGTTTCTCTACTTGTAATAGGGTTTGTAAGCGAACAGCATGGATCCTGATCAGACTGCACGGGTGCGCAGGCTGGTCTGGATCAATGCTGGTCGCAAACGCATTACTTTGGTTTTGACGTAACGCAGCTCATAACAGAGGGTGTTTAAGGTTCCTTGATCAAAGCGATATGATGCCTCTAAATTTAAAACGTTTTTAAGTGAAAATTTTGAATTCTTCTAAAACCGATGTTTAACCGATTTGAGCCTGCGTCGTTTTCTATCATTTCCTTGGTCGTTCTTTAAAGCTTTCATTTTTCTACAGCAAAACTATATCGCACACTTCGTCTTTTATTTTCTTCGCGATCACTGATTATTAAAAACATTAAAAAACTGTCTTTAATCTTGATAATTAATTAAGTCCTTTGTGACATAAAAGACACGAACATACTCGATCAAGTCGAGCTTGAATGTTGTTGTATATTGTTTTGTTCATTTGCTCTTTACAGATTTTATCTTTTTAGATTAGTAAAAATGAAACTTTATATGAAAACTCAGTAAAACCAGGTCTGCAATTTTCATGTAATTTTGTTGTGATTATTGCCACCAGAGGACTACCCTTTACCCAGAACATAAGCTTTATCTAAATACTATTTGAAAGGCGGATGATGCTCAAGTAATTTTTACTTTGTCTTAAGAATATAGTACATTCAAACAGAACGATATGTTAAGGAATATATATAAGTACATTTCTCTATTGTTACAGGTGATTGCCGGAGCTTGTGGTCAGCGACCATGTTCAGAGACTCAAAAATGTATTCCCTTCAAAGGTGGCTACAAATGCGAGGAAATACAATTGTGTACGTTCATTGGTGTGCAAGGAATTGTTTACTTGACAATGTTTGAAGACTAATCTAATCACTATTGAACGATTAGAAAATAATAACATGTATATATAAATAAAGTTTAGGGGTCAAGTAAAACCAAATATGTTATACCGTAACTTTAAGTGGGAAAATCGGAAAGGTCGAAAAATGAAAGTATGGTTCAATATATAAATATACGGTTGACAACTATAACAAAGGGTTACTACCAATAATTACATTGTCTATATATTTCTTTCCTTGACCTGACGATTATATTCAATAACTTTAGAAAGTACCATTTTCAGTATCTTTAGATTAAATCAATTTAAAATCCACGTTTACAATAAATAATATTTTTTACAAAATGCTTGTTAATTCCGTTGTTTTTGTTGTTGTTGTTGTTTTGTTGTTTTTGTTGTTTTCAGTTATGCCAACAGACTGTACAGATGTTAAGCGTTATTTCCCTTCTGCTACCAGTGGGCAACATGAAATTAAACTATGGAAATCACGTAAAACATTGTCAGTTGTATGTGACATGGACACAGAAGGTGGCGGTTGGACGGTAAAAATGTGTTAAAAAGAGGAAGATTTAATATGAAATAGTTTATCGAAGCTTTTGTAAAAGATATTTCAAGTTAATAAACACTATCATAGCTCGGACATTGCCTGGTTTGCCTGAACGTGCATATATTTAGCGGGCCAATTATGATTATGAAATTTCCGGCCACGAGCTGCATACTTATAAACGTTCACGTAACACTTATAATAAATGTAGTAACAATTGTATTAATTCTCATTACGAACTATTTACCGGTACATTATTTCCATTGTTGTCGATGGATATCTTCAATTGTACATATTTTCAATTAAAGGTATACTTTGCTCAAATTTGATATTTGAAAATATTGATAATCGCTACACATTCTCTTTGTAAATATTAAATATACATGTTTTTACTTCACACAAAGTAGATATATTATGTTTAAAACCCTACACACAATAGATGATCACATTAAAAATATATAGTTTCATTAAAAAAACTTTTAAGAAAAGACCGACTTTACTTGACCTGTAATAGTGAACGCAGCTTTATTTAAAATATTTTTCTTCAAGGATGAGCACAGTATATATTTTAGCATTAATTGTTCTGTCATGTGATACACATTATTTTAATCAAAGAAATAAAATGTCCACTTTAAAGGAAGTCCACTGAGATACAAAAGCATAAAACACAACACTGGAGATTTTACATAGATCAAGGAAAACATTTTAAAACAGAAAGATATATATGATTATTAACAAATATACTAAGTCATAAATTGCTGTTTTTTTGCGCTATTCGTAGCCCAATTTGTGTGAAAAGCGTTGTAATGCTTTTCAATTTAGGGTCATTTTTCACGACTAGAATGATTACTCTGGAAAAACGGAGTAAGCGAATGATCTGAAATTATGAACAAAAATTATTGGTCAAGACTTACATCTGTTGGAATTTTCGCTGCCTCTGAAATTGTCCCTGTGTGAGAATAATTCCATGAGAATATATTCTTTTTATGGCACTTTATAGGTACTTCAGACACGATTTGATGGTTCTGTAGACTTTTACAGGAACTCAACGGAGTATGAATATGGATTTGGCAATTTGAATACAGAGTTTTGGCTAGGTAAGATGGTTGATTTCTGTACGGTGCTCTACTGGGTGCCTTTCCAATAGTCTTATGTGGCTAAATTTAAGATGGGACTGCTCTGTGAAATTCGTTCACTCCTGTTGATCTTTATACGCATTCCTTTTTTTATTTTCATAATGAATGTATTACTCTCCTGCGCATCGGTCGAATGTTCCACTACCGTCCATTTGTTTGTAGTAACGGTAGTGTTTTCAATAAGCTATTGAGGGAGCGTATGAACGTATAATAGTATGTCATAAGGAGTTTTAACGTGTCATTTAACATTATCATTTTTGTTAAAGCCATTTAATAGGGTCAATATTTCACTTTTTTTTAATATTCATGACTTAATCATCTTCACAATGCAGATAAAACAGTCAAACTGGTAGAAAGCACTACTGAATTATGAATACTGATATTTGCATTTAAGGTCTGAAGTATTTACAAGAAATGACGTCTCAAGGAAAGAATGAATTAAGATTTGACTTAATGGCCGCTGATGGAACTACCGTGCATGAAACATTCCCGAACTTTATGTCATACCACAATGGTATGCATTTTACGACAAAAGACGAAGATAGAGCTAACTACATCAAGAACTGCGCCATTCATTGTCATGGTGCTTGGTGGTATAACGCTTGTGGCGGCGTGAACCTCAACGGACAGTATGTTACTCCAGGGATTACTCATCCCCTTGGTCACTGGGTTGGAGTGATTTATCAACCATTTAGTCTACAGTCTCTGAAAGAAACTAAAATGATGTTCCGGAGAGCTATTACAAATGATGTTTGACAGAAGTAATAAGAGGCAAACAGTAAACATGTACAATCATTCTTTTGTGCGTTAATGAAATAAATATATAGTTTAATTCTATTTAAGGAAAAGATCAAAATTTGAGTGTTATAGATGGTGTAGACATGTTTAAGACTGTCGATGTTTTATTCTGTATAGATTGCTTCGAGACTCTCAAAATCTGAATGGGGTCATTGTTGCCATCTGGTATAAATTCAGCTTAAAGGCCCATTATGCCTCATATTATGATTTTATATTTAGTTCTCATAGGCTTTTTAATTTTGGTGTACTTTTATAGTATCCAACAAGGAATTGATTGGCCAATAAACAGAACCATCTTTTTCATCTGTTGTTTTTTTGTTACAAGAAGTACAGTTATAGTGAATTAGTGTTTTGTATGGAATACTTAGTTTACATTTTGCTCCTTTTATGACAAATTAGTTCACATTTATCGCTACATTGTCAGGTAACAAGCATCTAACAATTCTCTTAAACTATTATTTACACATTATAAAAGTCATGTTTGCCCTTTCTTAAAAAGTAAAACATTATTTGTGTCTGGGGAATAATGTACCTTTTTAATGATACATTGTAACTGACAAAACACAATCTTTTTTTAAATTTTTCAATCATCAACAATCATCATTTTCAATTTAATCAAATACAAATGTTGTAAGCTCGGTATTTTCAGTAAGCCATGGACGGCATTGATCATTGAGCCGTGTCACGACAAAACCAACGTAATGCGTTTGCGACCAGCATGGATCCAGACCAGCCTGCGCATCCGGGCAGTCTGATCAGGATCCATGCTGTTCGCTTACAAACCATATAACAAGTAGAGAAACTGTTAGCAAACAGCATGGATCCTAATCAGACTGCGCGGATGCGCAGGCTGGTCTGGATCCATGCTGGTCGCAAACCCATTATGTTAAATTTGTCGTGACACGGCTCAATTATGTGTTTCTGTGTACGATCCACCACAGCACCGACTTAATCATCTGATGTGTTATCGCAAAATCGAAATGTTCAAACTAAAATTTTAGGTGTTATTTAAAAACAAAATCATTCAAAAACCGTCATTCAAAAATTTTCAATTTTGCCATGCTGGGCCACATTTTCAGGTTCATTCATGAAAATTTATATTATTTGGAAAACAAAAACAGGGAGTAAATGACATCACTCTTTCATCAAATTAATTACTTCTTTAAAAAATAGACGAACATTCGAGGAACTTATCCGAAGTTTCTCGGGACTTTCCGTAAAAAAGAAAATATTTGAAGGAATACTTCATGTACCAGTTAATGAGAAGAAAAAGAGGAAGAGAAAAGGCTCAATCAAACCGAGCCTGCAACATTTTCAAGTTTGCCGTGTTGGGCTTTCTTTAGGGATTCTTATTTTCTCCATTTCATATTATTTCTCAATTCAGCGCAAGCTTACAGTTTTACAATTCATTTGAAATGATGGAATACATGGTATGCATGGTACCAATCGCAACTACTCGGCCCTTTCCGTCAGACTTCGGATAAGGACCTCGAACACAATAGTATGAATACACAGAACGGATGCGGTATTCCGGTCTAACCTACGCTAAGAAATTAAACATGTAAACAAATAGTAATTTAATGCTGGGAGTTGTTGACACGTTTATTTCCAATATATATAGTAAAAGTCCACTTAAAATAAGTGAATTCATAGGTACAAAAGCAAACAATACATTATTTATATATTTACAAATAAGGCTGTAGAAACCGAAAGTACAAAAAACCAACCTGTTGACATTTAGTCGGATTTGTTTAAAATTGAACATCAGTGGGCATATTTAAATTACAAATTGTTGTCAGACTTATTTTCAAGCATAAGAGTACCGGAACAGACATAGATGTCAAATATATGCATTCGTTTTACATTATCTCTGTTTTTGTTTACATCTGTAAACCACGTGGTAGAATTACTTTCAATCCGTATTGTTTCCGAGGTTAATATTATAGATAATAGCCGAGGCAGTTCCGAATGGCATGGTAAAACTGAAAAGCTTTTAAAGTTATGTAGATAAAACAAAGCAGACTATCCCATTAACAAAGTTATGCTTTATTTTCACATTTAAATTATTAAAACTTTTTTCAATTATTGCTAGGTGTGATCATAGTCCAATATATTAGACGTTACAGGCTTGTTACGGTTTTTGTCGGTCAAGCCTGACGTCTAATAGTTATTGCTCAAAAACGCATAGCATCATAAAAAATTCCAAAAATGTCTATTGTCTTGCCTTTCAAGCTTTATTCAAAAGCTTATCATATTTTCTTTCAATTTCATGCTCAATCATACACAAAAACTTTCAAACGATGTACTTATCAATTTAAAATAAAATATAAACATCAATCTATTTTTGTCTATCAGCCATACTGGTTAAGCAAGGTGCTTTACAGATTGATTCCAAATTTTTGAACGGAAAAATATATTCGAACACACTGACGGTGCATGGGCAATTATTTCGTTAAAAAAATATTCCGTTAGATTGTTCTGACTCAGTTAAAGGCTTGCATTTGAATTAGCCAATCAGATTTCGCGCACTTTACGGCCGCCATTTGTTTATCGGCTGTAAAAGGAATTGAAATACATTAGAGGATTTAATCATGATTTTTCGGATGTGACAGTTTAATTATTTTGACTAAAGGTATTTATTTTTTAGTTTTGTTCATAAATAGGTCAAAAATTATGTAAATACACGCTGTCTTCATTGTTTTTCGTTCCGCCCGATTTTCTGGCGGAACATGCTATGGGTTTTTGAGCAATTTCGATATGACGTTGCTTTGCCCAGAAGCAAAAATATCTCAAAGCGACGTCATATTTATAGGACTAGGTGTGATCAATGAAATGTGCTTTAATCAATTATACATTGTGCACAATAGAAGCAATTTTTTCCAATACTTTTGTACGCAGAAATGTTTTTTATAAATGGTTTCAACCCAATTTTCGAAAAAAGAATTTAGTTTCAAATGGTAGACTTAATGAACATAGGTTTTGACATCATCAATGAATATATCGGCTGATACTTTGGAGACATCAATATTTTCTGTCAACGCTTTTGAAAGAACAACAAAAAATCGGGATATTTCCACATATATGGCTGCTTCATTAAAAAAGTAACTAGTTTTGATGGATTAATTCCATGATTTATTTATCATACTGTATAAATATGCAAAAGAAAAACCTTATCGAAACGAATCTGTTGTACATTAACATGTAACTTATATTTCCAAACATATGTTTCTGTCTATCATGTTTAAGAAGCTATATAACTCATAAAGTCGTTTATTTTAAAATATAGGTCCAGCTACAACAGGAACGTTACTCCTGGCAATGTCCACCCTTTTGGCGTTTGTCATGGGGTGGTTTATAGACCATTGAAAGAAACTAAAATGATGTTCCGGCGAGTTTTTCCAAATGATTAAAACTTGCACACAATTTGAAAATAAAAGAAACAATATACAAACAATTTCGCAGTTAAACCGAAAATTTTAGGTTAATTCCATACAATTTTTTCAATTAATTATAAAAATGTTCATTCTTAATCATTTAAAACTTTATCAATACATTTTAATTGTTTTTATAAATTTATCTAAATGACTATTTTCTATTGTTTTTATCTATATTTGAAAAATTTATGGAAAATGTGCCCATTGTAGACCTACCCCCCTTACATTAAGTAAATATATACATTAACAATGTGCAAGTATAAAGTACATTATTCATATACTATGTTTTAAAACCCGAAAGTACCTGTTGACGACATTTTAGAGGTTTTGAATATAAAAGATTTACAACTGGCATCCTTAATACGATTCTCAATATCAGGCATATTTTCCAATAATAATTTTACCGAAATTGGATTTATTTTTTATTTATTCATTTAATTTTCTTATTTTTCTTTTTTTTTCGTTATCTATTTTTTTTTTTTTCGTCGGATGCTTATAATGCTTTTTCATTATACAAAGGATAGTTCCTCTGTTTTGTTTACACTTGTAGTCATGTGGTATAACTACTTTTAATTTGTACTAATCACTTATCACGTAATACTAGTATACTATTATAATACATTTACATATCAAAAATGTTATTAAGATAAATTATATTTTTAGTCATGCACTTTGTAGTTTCATCTTTTTTCTAGGTTGGCAGTGTTCTTAAAAAAAGAAACAAAACTGCATTGTAGACTTTTTGAAGCAATTTTTTACAAAAAAGTATTTTGAGGTGTTGTTTGTTCGCTTTTTATTTGTACTTTCTATTTTACATAAATATTTATTTATAATTCAATATGTACATACTGTCCTAACAAATTGAAGTATTGTATTTTTTTGGCTTTACGTGTCACCAACACAGTATATTTAGCTGGATAGCTTATTCACTTAAGAATTCGAACCTACACAGTGAAGGGCAAGTGGTTTGAAGTCAACGACCTAAACCACTCGGTCAATGACGCTTAATTTTCTTCATGTCATCAATAGATAAATTGTATGGGAAAAAAATAAAACGAAATTGGTAAACGACAAATGAGCCGCGTCACGACAAAACCAACATAATGGGTTTGCGACCAGCATGGATCCAGACCAGCTTGCGCATCCGCGCAGTCTGATCAGGATCCATGCTGTTCGCTTACAAACCCTATAACAAGTTGAGAAACTGATAGCAATCAGCATGGATCCTGATCAGACTGCGCGGATGCGCAGGCTGGTCTGGATCCATGCTGGTCGCAAACCAATTATGTTGGTTTTGTCGTGACGCGGCTCAAATATTGTCAGATTGAGATTGGTTATATTCTTAACTAATAAGCGCCACCTCGTTCGTTCCACCCAACCACCACACGCTAAAGCTGTTCTCACATGCAACAACTTGTGTTATCGGAAGCATTTAAGCCGTTGTATCTGAATAAAAGTGCTTACTTAAGGCAGCATGCCTCCAGGTGAGACATGATAAACTAAGAAAATCAACTTCGAAAAAAAGAATATTTTCATCTTAAGAAAAGTAAAAAAAAAATCACAATTCTTGGAATAATTTGCATTTTAAATACCAGCACATGAAATAAATGACTGATTTTGCAGTATTGATCATCATATTTCTACTGCGTGACTGACGCAGTAAGTGCTTTCTTTGCATATTCTGACCTAATTTTGTTAAAAATTACCGTTTGAAATGTGTCCATTAGCATGAATCTGGGTGTGAGAATAAACTTCTTTCCGTCGAAATATTATGTTCTTTGCATGATAACATTGTTTGCGTTATATTTTTACTCAAACTACATTGTATTATACTGCAAATTTTATGTATATAATGTTTCAGCCATTAAATATATACTATACTCATCTTTTAGTGAAATATTTTTATCACAGAAATTTATTGTTATCTATAATACTCTTTCTAAATGTATCTAATTTTGGAATAAATAATACAAACTATGTATGGGAAGCTGCATTCTCAAAATTATGTGTCAAGTAAAGTTGGTTTTTGTTTAGCTGCCGGTTTTTGTTAAGCTCCCGGGTTTTTATCGATTCTTTCAAGAGTTTAAAACATAGCATATATACTTTTATATACTTTTCGTGAAGACAAAACACGTTTATTTTATATATTCAAGGAGATAGTGGAGCAATTATCATTTTTTTTAATGTTAAATTTGAGCATAGCATATCTGCTATTATATAATATATCTGCTGTCATACTATTCTTAATATTCGTGTAACGTTTGTATTGTGGTCGATATTATGTCATTAAAGTTTTGTTTATATATAGAAAATGAGATGATTCTTGTTAATGATGCGTTTTATATGTGCTGCTATTCATTTACAGAACTTGCAATTAATTAGATTTTGACATTTGGGAAATTATTGAGTTGGTATTATGGTAATGATCATAGATTTCTGAACATCTTTGGTTGTTGTGTCTATTAAATTATTGATTATCATTTTAAAAGTGTGTTTTCCTTTATCTTAAATTTATTATGTTTTATGAAATAAATTATGAAGTAGATCTGTGTTAAAAAATATCAAACACAGTTTGATAAATAAATTCTGAAAATTAGTCACATACAAATTGTCAAAATTCTTGATCAAAGAAATATTTGATGTCTTTTGAATGATATAAATGTCTATAATCTTTGTTATTTTTGTATTTATGTATGTTTTTTCCCAATAAATAACTGGAGCTTTTTTGGACTTGGTTTTAAATCAAATGAACGACGCTATTATGGTTTTAAGTCAAATAAACGACACTGTTGAATCATAGCTTGTCTTACTTTTACCAATTTTAAATTGACTGTGCAGTTTCTAAATTGAATTAATGTAACCATTCCCATGAAAGAATATACTTTTCATCAAATTACAGTGGGATACACTTAACTTCGACTATATTACAGATATTTGAGAAAATAAATTTGGTGAAAAGTTTAGATGCTCGATAAAATATTAAACTGAATTTTAACTTCTTATAATTATATATTTTATTTGATTATAATATAATACCTTTTCTTTTACGTGCCAAACGTGGCGTCTATTAACATAGACGTGTGTTTGGTACGTTTACGCCATTTCCTGTTTTATGTATCAACTGACGAAGCTAATAAAGCGAAACATGTATTGATATTTAAAATGGTGTTGGTTTTATCTATTTGTCCTTACCTCTTATAATGAAAGCCCTTAAGTAGATTATGCCAAAGAGTTCGTTTCGATGCTTTGCCATATTCATAGCGTATCTTGTTTGCACTGTACAATTTTTGATGGTCGTGAAAATGTCCTGGAAAACCACACATCCAAACTGTTTTATTCGATATTCTCTTGAAATTTGGTCAGCTTGGCATTCTTGGTGTGTTTATGGCTGTCTCCTTGTAACGCTTCGCCAATATAATGAATGTAGATCAACCAACAAGAGTATAATCAAATACGTGATTTAATATGAACAAAATGGCGTAGTACAGATAAGGGGAGAGAAATATAACATTTAGTCCGAAACAGGCAAATTTCCGAATGTTACACAGGCCCGTCGTCACGATTTTGTTATTGGTGCGGCCAATTTGGTTGGTTTTAGCCAGCATCTAGGCGGGTACGGGGGCATGCTCCCCCGGATTTTTTTTTTAATTCTAGGATGCTCTCAGGGGCGTTTTCCCGTATATTTGGCACAGTTTACAGTCTGCCGCTAGTACTTGTTATAGTAATATGTCAACGATTTTTTTAACAGATTGTATGTGCATACAATACAGTCTGGCGCTTTTCAAATGTTTTGTAGGCTTTCTTTGTTATACAGAAATAATTTTATTTTCAATCCTGCACATTACCCTGAAGATCAAATGTAATCTGTTTGTACAGGCTTTTTATCGGCGTTGTACATACATACATACATGACTTAATCCCTTGATCACGATTGGCATGTTCAAATATTCAATTGAACTTATACCTTTATTGAAATATCTAATTACTGTTTTGAATGGTACTCTAGACCAATGTCTATATGGCATAAATATCATGAAAATTAAACTTAACTTGCAACTTTGATATTGGCATGTTTGGGGTTGTTTATGAAACGTATGTCAGAGAAGGAAAAGATTTAGCGTTGTTTCACCTACGATTCATTTTAAATTTCACAAGTTAGATTTTTCTCAAGACACCAATCTGTGTTTACTTCCGGTGAAATTTGCAGAAATTTTAGAAAGGCCACGTCAAAGTATATTCATCTATTTTACTTGTGATTCGGTTTCGGAGACACTGTCATTTATAGATATACATCTAAGTGGTAGTATTGGAAGATGGCGTCTAATGATATTGGTGATTGGTACAGAGGAATTCCTCAAATATCGAAATATTGGTTCACAGGATCAGTGATTGTTCCAATAGCTGCAAGATTTGGTCTTCTTAATCCAATGTATCTTATTCTTTTGTTTGAACCTGTCATATATAAATTTCAGGTAAGTGTTATTTCTGTTTAATTTTTTAGACTTAAAATTTAACTGATGTAATTACTGATTGAATTATAGATTTATGATAAGGATAAAGATAAGGATACTTCTGAATGAGGAGGCCATTGTTAATTGCTGTGCCAAAACCTGCTTTCAAATGTTAGAAAAGCGTCGTGATAGTTTGTATACTGGATAATATTAAACTGTACTATATTTTTTTATTGTATATAAACATTGTTTTAGTATATGAACATTGTTTTAGTATATGAACATTGTTTTAGTATATGAACATTGTTTTAGTATATGAACATTGTTTTATCTTGCTCTAGAAAACCTTATTAATAATTCATATGTCTGATTAGATCAGTCCTGTGCTTTTACTGTTTAGGCCATTTTGTAATGTTGAGCTTTATAAACTATTCCTTTTAAAGATATTCTGGGTTATAATTTTAAAACAAAACAAAACGACAGATTATCATCAAGAAGAGTTTTCTAGGTCATAGCATTTAGAATATGTGTATATATATGGTAAAGAAATTAGTATAGTTTAGAACCGAAAAATAAGGAGGGTTTGTTTTTGGTTATACAAATCAATGCCAAGTCATAATTTTGACACAACCACTGTTGTTATAGAACATGAATATTTGGGTCTTCATACAGTTTAGCACATTACAGTTTTCTGAACTATTTTGTTTATGATTAAATTTTTCAGCCTTTCTATGGGATAGACAGAGTAGTTTGAATTTTAACTTTACTCAAATATGAATACTTGCCAAGATCTTTGAATTGACAAAGTTATGATTAAGAACAAACTCAGATGACATTTCATTTCATTTCTTTTTCTGTATATGTACATTAAGTGAGTAGTCATTAAAATATGTGATAGAGTTTTTAAGAATGTGAAAATGTATAGTTTTTTAATAGTCTCTAGCAAATCAAACATTTGATTGGTTTCATATATGTATGCCATTTGTTTTATCCTGTATTTTATATTGATTGATATGTACATATATGTTATTGAGACGTAAATAAATAAATAAATAAATAAATATGATTATCTGATTTTTTTTTTGTTCACAAAATTTTGACTTCATACTGACTTCTTAATATGAAAGTAAGCAAAACCTATGAACGAGGTAGTCAGATAAAAGTATTTTGTTCTTTTCTTTATTTTACATTTTTCATTTTGAAAGTGTCAGTCGGTATTTTATAGATCGATTCCAATTTCAATTGGAACACCTCTGTGATGATTTTTTAGCCGAAAAGTTGCAGTTCTTCTGTTATCAAAATACCCCGGTGTTTATCATATTTTAACTACAGTGTAACTTCCGAAAACCGAACACCCATAGGACTTGTCAAAAAGTTCGGATTTCAGAGGTTTTCGGAATTCAGAGGTTTATGATAATGCGGACAAGACTAAGCCACTTAATATTACTAAATGTCAAAGAAGATGTGGCCATTACTGTATTATCATATATAATAGTCTTTTAATCAAGATAAAGATGTGCATGAAAAGAATACATTTTTATCTTACCTGCAAATGCTTTTGAATTTCTATCAGTTTGTAGAAATGTTGTTAATTGCATAAACTTACATATCGTCCGATGCTAGTTAATTAATTATTACATAAAATGCAATAAAATCCCTAAAGACGTTTGATGCATACATTGTCCAATTAATTGTCATTTAATCCGCTAATAAACACTTCAAATTAACTGACCGCCGTAAATTACTTTGATTAACCGCATCACTTCAAACATACCATTTCACAGTTTGTGATTTTAACGCGTGTCAAATTACACGATCACCGCTAATTAGTAAACAATCGATAGGGAGATTAAATCTTCCTGCAGGGTAAAAATTCTCGTTTTACAATGTATTTCACACCTTTGGATATTTCCGGTTTTTGGAGGTAAAATTGCATTGATTTGACTCTAATTTTACGAAAATATCGTCCGGAATTCAGAATTTAGAAGTTCCGGAATTCAGAAGTATTATATTAATAGAAAATAGAAGGGAAAAAATCGGGACCGAAAAAAATGTTCGGTTTTTAGAAGTTTCCGGAATTCAGAAGTTCCGGAATTCGGAAGTTACACTGTACTGGTTGCGCCCAATTAGAAATGATACTGTCAATTTCACCGATTGGTATAGAATTTTATATATATTTTTAATTGTTGTTTTATTTGATTTCCTTTTAAATATACACATGCAGTCTATAGCCAGGCAAGCCAAAGCCCAGGACCACTTTGACTTTCCCATATTATTTTATACATTCCAATGTTTATGTTTCAAGAAATATTTCAGATATGGCGTTTGGTGACATCAGTGTTGTATTATCCAATTGCAGGACCAAAAGGGTTTCATTACCTAATAAACTTATATTTCCTCTATTCTTATTCTACAAGACTTGAAACAGGTAACTAATAAACTATATGTTCTTCCTTTTTAGTTTTGTTCATCATTTACTTTTGTAAAAAAAAAAATTCTGCAAATGATACAATTTGTCATATCATTCTTTGAGAATGAAGCCTTGACAGTGTTTGTTTAATGTGAATATTACATGTCCATTATTTTATTATTTAAAGAAGAAGATCATTGGAAATAACAAGACTGTATACTAACTCTTATTTAAGCTATATAATGTAAGAATTAATTATTTATAGATTAATATAATTATTAATTATTATACATCTTCACACAACAATGTTAAAAAACAATATGTACATTATACCTCAATTGGTATATTTGCTATCTATGTTTATAACGGCATCTTGAACTGTTATGTATATTGTATGTTAAAATGTTTTGCAGGAATCTTTGATGGAAAACCAGCAGAGTATGTGTTCATGTTGTTATTTAACTGGCTGTGTCTGGTGGTATCCTTTCGTGTGAAATTTTGAAACATAAAAAAATTCTTCATATAAATTTCATTATACATCATAATTAGTGGATCAAATGCTGTATATATTATCTCAAGTGAGCTCAGGACACTTTTATTTTGAGACTGGTTGTTTTTATTGTAGTATGTTCAGAAAGTTAATGTAATGTATTAATCGTTCAAAACTTATTTAACTGTTTCCGAGGCAAATTTGGGTAGTGACTCTATGTAAATAATATAAATACATGTAAAGTAATATAAATCATTTATCCATGAACAATAAATATGTTAGCTATTTTATAAAGTGGATAGATTTTCTTAACTTTCTCAACAGATAATAGGATTTTGTGCTGATTTAATGGTAAGATTCAATTTTTATTTAACATTTTTTGTTGTTGTATATTTCTTACATATATATATTATATTAGTTCCTAATTTCCACATTTATACAGTTACAACTTAAGACAGAATTTTCTTTGAGTTTAAAGAAAATAGAAAGAATAAGTAGATTACTAGACACATCTATAGATGGATGGTTAATCTTTTTCTGTTCAGATCATAGTCTTATTGGTTCAATATCTGCCAGGAACAGTGAAATCTTTCATTTGTCATTTAATTTATTGTATGTCAGTTTTTTCAATTAGATTACCATGAACCAGAAAAGCAGAGATAGTCATCATACAACCTAAAATATGTCACTTGAAAATAAGATATGGGCAAAAAAAGAAAATTTCACTTAAGTCTTTTAGTCATACTTCCATAGCCTTGTGTTTTATCAATGTGCATGTTTATATTTCAGCTTTTGATGGACCCCATGATATTAAGTGTTTTGTATGTTTGGTGTCAACTGAACAAAGATACTATCGTGTCATTTTGGTTTGGCACACGGTTTAAGGTAAGAAATAAACAAAATCCTTGTATGTACATGTAGTAAGTATTGAATCATGGTAGAAGAAACTTGATTAAAGATTTTCAGTCAAAATGTGTGTGGATCACTGTGTTGTTAGTGTTGTCATGGCATCTGTTACCATGGTAATCTGTTTAAAAACACAATATCGAAACTGTAGTTTGCAAGGCTGATATTGTAACTGTAAAATAACTATATGATATAAATATTAAGATGAGAATTGTGTTGTAAGCACATGATTTGTCACCTTCAGTAAGAAGTCTTTTAAAATTTCCTTTAAATAAATTATTGGTTACAGTTAAATTTTGCATGTAGCCCTCATGTATAAATGGTTTTGCAGGCGATGTACTTGCCATGGGTGCTGTTAGCTTTCAACATGATCGTTGGTGGAGGGTAAGTTTATGAAGGATTTTATATTTTTGGTAGTACAGGCGACTTTAAATCTAATTTCTAGAGAGACAATACAAAGAAAAATTAGAATCAATGATTTTAAAATGATACATGATTGATGCGTTCAATCATACTGAATTGTTTGTTTTTCTTGTTTTTACTCAAATTTCCACACATTTTTGGTCATGTCTCGGCATTGGATCAACCTAACCCTCTTTTCGGGATAACTAACCAGTTATAACCAATTTCTCAGCAAGTGACTGACTACCATTAATTTTGAAATGTGTGAGAGAGTCAAATGACCATAAGACTTGATGTCCAAGATGAATTTCTTGGAAAAATTATGCCTTACACAGGGATCAAACCAGGCACCCCAGGATAACAAATCTGATGCTCCCTCCATTATGAACTTAGGGGGTGGACCTATGGTATAAGATAATTGGATAATGTATAATTGATACAAGTTTGATACATGCTATGGTGTAACTGAAGTCTACTCTGTCTAAACCTGTTGAAATGTTTGGGAAAATAGATACAAAATAATTATAGAGTCATTGATTATGATATAATTACTACACTGTATTGAATGATAGATATTTTACTGATATTCAGTATTGAGAGTGTATCGTTATAGTGATTGAAAGAATTGAAAGATGTATAAATCTGTTACCTGGTATATAATGATTTATTAATGTTGTTGTATATATCATTGCAGGGGTTTGATGGAACTTGTTGGTATCGTTGTTGGCCACATGTATTTCTTCCTTATGTTCAAATATCCACAGGATTTCGGAGGTGTAAGACTGCTAAATACTCCTCAAATACTGTAAGTTTTTTGGTTCTCTTGAGATGATTGTCACACTATTTAGTTACATTCATAAAAAAATTATTTAGGTATGCCAAGGTTGCTTTAAGCTCTGGTTTTATCACACATTTGAATTAAACATTCAATTGTTTAAAAAAATAGTGTTTGCTTTACACTTAGCATTGTAACAGATTGCATAGATAAAAAGGACATAACTCTGTCTGGATAACTTGTTTTATTCTCCCTTTTTCACTGATTTTATCTTATGTACCAACATTATTTAAAAATTATTGAGTTTGGACCCAGGTGCTTGCCTAAAATAATGCACATTCGGTCAACTGGAGTAATTATCTTACTGCAAGCTCTGTGATATTTTCTTTGTTGCTATGAACTCATTTCAGATTAAACAAAAAAACAGGAAAACATATATATCTATATATATAATTATGTATGCTCACCCCTATGGTAATGGTAATTTTTCTAGAGGCAAGGGTAAACAAACATAAATATACACACGTAAAGGAAGCAGGCAACAAGATTGAGTATGAGATTGAGTCTTTGCTCTCCTGTAAAATTGATATTTTATTTTTCAGTTGCATACCTGTAAAAAGAATTCCAGTGCATTGATTAATGAAACATTGATAATGTGCTTTGTCAGGCGAATAAAACCTATGTTGGTCTTAATTGTTCATCTAATAAATCATGACACAATTTTGTATGAAATTATTAATCTAATTATTGGTATTGTTTCAGTTACAAATATTTTCCTAATAGACGAGGGGGTGTGGCAGGGTTTGGACAAGCCCCAGCTAGTCAGCGACGCCCAAATAATGATGACAATGACCCTGGTAGACATAGATGGGGTGGTGGCGGCCAGCAACTTGGTGGAAACTAAATAAAACTTTATAGTTAAATTTTGGGCAAGACATTTTTTTTCTCAACATAATGGTGAGGATTTCTACAGAAAATCATTTACCTGGATTTGCAATGTATCCAGAGTATACAGAATGCAAGTGTAAGAGATCATGAAATATATATAAAAACATTGCCACTTGTGTTTGATTTCCAGCTATCGAGCATATTGAATGAACTTATAACAGCTTTATTATTATTTAAGTTTTCTTTACATAGGTTTTCTTTATGTGATGTTTTTCTGTAAATACTTTAGAACTATTTATATATCCATCATAAGTATTCCACCAGGGACTTTAGTTTCTTTCATGTGAAAAAAAGCTATCCAGCTAGCTATCAGAACATTGATGGTACTACTCAGTTGCCCGTTCATGCCTGAAAAAAATGCACAGAGGGTTACCTGAGGTTTTCCTGCACTAGTAAAGCTAAAAAGTTGCTGTGTTAGTGCAACATAAAACCAAACAAGAGATAATAATAATCATACAACTCTCCATGCCTTAGTAAAGAAAAAATTCAGATTTTACTTAAAGGAACTCCACTAAGGTTTAAAAGCCGAAAAACATAACATTTGAAATTCTAACATAAATGAGCTGGGGCACTTTAAACAGAAATATATGCAAAGATAGTTAAGAAATATACTTCGAAATAAATTTCAAATTGTATTTTTATGCTTTTCTTAGCCCAATTTGAGTGAGAAGCGTTTAAACGCTTTTCATTTTGGGTCATTTTTTTACAATTTGAATAAGTATTCTGGATAAACGAAGTGCGCGAATGATCTGAAATTTTGCACAAAGATTAGTGGTCTAAACCTTCATCAAATGGTTCATTTATCTGGAAAAAATATTGTCAGTCCCATCATGTCAAAAAACCTCAGTGGAGTCCCTTTAAAATAGCAGAAAAGCTTTGAAGATGTACCACTTCTCAATTGAAATATATGACAAAATATGAATTTATACAAGTTAATGAATGATGCAATTTCAGAAACAAACTTTTTTTGTTGAAGAAAATGAGAAAGTGACAGCATGGCTTTATTAAAGAAACAACCATAATGTTTAAGTAAAATTAAGCTTGCATACTGAGCTTGCCCTGCTTTAAATATGCGCCTTTTTGTTGTTTATTTTATGTTGTTGATAATGAATATACGTAAATTTAATAGGCCATTAATATAAAATGTGTAGTTTAAGACTGTCTTGTATAGCTGAAAGTCATTATGTCTACCAACAATTATAGAGTGACAGCGGACGTTATTTCAAATTTTGTTGTGGTTTTCATTTTTTGTCATTTTTCATCTTAAACACTTACAAATGCTTACTTGCATAATATTTGTAATTTGAATTATATTATTCAGTATTTGCTTATTTGAAATGGTCAGCACACACATTTATCAATGTGTCCTGTCCAATGCCATTTTCGTTTCTTGATGGTGTTTGTGATGGATAACCCATGAACTAAAGGAACTGAAAGTAATCAGCCTTTGCCACCTCTGAATAAATCCAGGTCAGCTTGCATATCTATGTAACCTCATCAGGGTCTAAACTTTTAGATTATATTTTGATATAAATCCCTTAAGCTTGGAATGAACAAATCAAAGGTTGGACATAATACACTGATTCAACAGGCTAAGGGTTAAGAAAATGATCTGATAAAAATGAATCAATTTAAAGAAACTTATAAAGTAATAAATGACCGAGTAGCAAACAGTGCTGACCATGTTGAGACATATAATCAGATGTGTCAGCTGATCCTTGTCTGTATGTTCATGGTCTGTTTCCAAAGGTAAATAAATTGCATTTAAAATTTGTTCCAATATTTACTATAGAAGCTACCAAACTATTACGTTGTTTGAACTTTATTCAGAATATTCATATTGACCTGTGCATTATAAATATGAAGGGGTATGGTACATGTATGTGTTTCATTTATAATGATGATATTTAATGGTATCTTTTGCAAATTAAAAATGCATTTGATATTATTTCACCTTTTATCACAAGCAATTTTTAATCATGAAAACAGCATTGAATATTTCTAAATCCACTTTAACATGTTTCTAATAGAAACACTGACTTGTCATGACCTGGTATCAAAACATATGTTCAAAGAAATTATTAAATTTGCTTTAAGTTAGTTACATGTTTTCTTATGAACAAATAGATTTTGCTGTTTATAAATTTTATAGTTTATAAATTTTAATCTTGGCAGACAATATCAGTAAACAATGTAAGGATCTTGCACCGGCTGCCAGTACAGACCGGAATATCTGGCTCAAAGGCAACTGTTTATAACAGTAATGCCTCATGAATAAGTAGGTTTTGAATAGCAAACAGTGAAGACCTAAACATTTACACGAGGCAAGATATTCCAGTCCGTACTGGCTGCCGTGTAACTAGTTGTTAAACCGGACTGATATGCAAGAATGCTTCTTCTAAGACTTATTATATGTAAATGACTTGCAGTTTGAAGATACAAAAAAGATGTTCCCCTCATTTGCTCAAATACATCATGGATAAACATGTACTTGCATATAAAAATATTCCACTGAAGTGAAATCCATTATATTTTATCTGCTTTGATTAACTTGTAGCCAGGTTTCATTACATCTTGTGACCACTGGCATCAGAGTCCTTAGATAATCATAAAATGACTGAAATTATACCCATATAACACAAACTGCCAGAAAAATTATCAAGAACTACTTTTCAGACACATCCCTGTATATACTATCATAGTATTTCAGGCAGTTTGTGTATGAAATGTATGAAAGCCGTGGTTGATGGTACTACTCGGGTGCTTACTCTTGCCTGAAGTAATATGTTCAAGGTCAGACAAAATAATTCAGCTGATTGTTTTACTGACTGAAAAAAATTCTACAAATTTTTTAATCTAGTCAAGTATTTAGTATCACAGCCCCACATTTCTGAAGCACATAGATTTGTAAACCATGTTGACTTTTGATCATGATTAAAGCTGCCTGCATTAGAATATATGTGAGTGTAGGGATCATGAGACTATGTTACTTAACCATTATCATGCTCAATATCTTAAACGAACATTACCCATCCTTTAATCTGAACTAAACCATTCATCAGTTTTAGGGAAGATTTGAAAACATGCACTGACTGTCTGCACAGATCGCATGGTTAATTTTAGTTGCCACCAGCAAGCATGGAGTGAATGTTATGAATGTAGTAGTTTTATTTTGTCTTTAAAGCTGCACACCTCCAGATTTGTGCAAATTATTTATGACAAAAATAATTAAAGATGTTCTTAACCAGTCCATATATGCTGAATCTATTTGTAACTTAATAGACATAATTATGATAATAAGAATAGTATTTCATATTTTCTGTAAAATTGTGTCATATGAACAACCACTCAGCTGGAGAAGTGCAGCTTTAATACTTGAGAAATATAAATATTTGTATTTAATATGATACATAGTATTTGTTCATTATCATTTTGTTTATTGAAAAATATTCATACATTGTACACAGACATGGCAAATTTAGATACTTTTTACAATATTGAACTTAATGAGGGAATCTTTTGCTTCATTTTTGAGCTTTTTGTGTGTAAGCTGTAATTGGAAACACTTGTGTTATAATTATTTTAAATGCTGTTCACTATCAGTTTCTCTACTTGTAATAGACTTGGTAAGCGAACAGCATGGATCCTGATCAGACTGCGCGGATGCGCAGGCTGGTCTGGATCCATGCTGGTCGCAAACCCATTATGTTGGTTTTGTCGTGACGCGGCTCATTTATCTTCGATATTGCACCAATAATTGTTTGAAGAAATTTGCTCATGTTTGTCACATTATGATATTTAATATTTATCTACATAGCTTAGTGTTCAAGACCTTTTTGGATGATATTTAGTTATTTACGCTACTTTAATATGTTACTGATTCAGTTTAAATATTCATAAATATAAGTTTGATAGTTAGATAAAAATGTAGCTTATTTGAACATCTCTCGTGTATACTTCCTGGATCAAACCAGCACTGTGTAATATGAGGAAACAATGTCGTGACCCTAGTAGGGCTCGAACCCACCATTCTTAGTTGAGATGATACACCTTAACCGCTGAATCTTTTAACATGATAAAATATGCTGGAATGTGGAAAATTGAACATCTTATATGATGTATACATATTACTATAATATATTTGAATTGTATATACAGGAAATTTTGCTTCTTTATCATCAAATTGATATCCATTGTTTCTTTTGAAATTATTTTTTTTAGAAACGAAATAAAAAGACATATAAAATAATTGTTTCATTCAAGTTCTTTTAACCTGTCATTCAACTGTTCGCTATAAACTGTTCCAAGTTTGAGATAGTTGACAAACACATTTTGAGTAAAAAGAAAAAAAAACGTATGACGACTGGTCGCTTATCATCGTGCAATTATATCATGCATACATGTGAACTCTCCCACTCTTAGCGGGAGACTCCCGCTTTCTGCAGGCATATTTTCAAAGATTTTTCTTAAAAAAGGAAAAAAGGGGTATTTTCACAAATTAAAGAAATCTCCCCCTTTTTTATGTCACAACTTCCTTCTTTGTTTATTGCAAATTCTAAAATCTCCCTCTTTTTGCAAAAAAAATCCAGCTTGATCATCGAAAAAAGTTCACATGTAAGTATATGTACCAGTTAAAGTGAAGAGAATTGCAAATTCACTATGATTATGTCAGTAAAATTCAAAATTGACACATGGACTCGACAGTAGTATTCCTTGTTGTCGAAGTTCTACAAGCTCTGTTACCACGTCACGGAATAATTCATTGTTACTCAAGTAGCCTTTTTGTATTAAATAAATGTGTATATTAGCCTTAATGAGAAGAAGAATCTTTATTTTGCAAATTAACTCTCAAAAGAGTCATGTACAAGCATTCATAACATATACAATTACATGTATGCATAAGTAAATAACTAATTACATAGCAAGATGACGTGACTGCAAGTATTTCTTTTCTTTCATTATTAATGGTTACCATTGATTATATATTTAATTTACAAATTATTAATTTTTGAGAGATTCTACATTCAAATATATAAAATAAGAAATACTTCGTGTATGTTCACGGGAGAGACATTGTCAGCATCTATTACATAGTATACTTTAAAGTCTCTTCCATACACTGGTCTTTGTAGTACATTTACTAATCTAGGCTTTATGGTTTTGATTTATTGCAATAGTAATATGGCACAACAAAACAAAACAAATGTTACTTCTAAACTATACTTTTGAACGCATATAATGCTTCTAACTTGATACAAGTAAGACCAGTGTATGATTTGAAACTTACAAATTTATAGCCTTTATAATCATCGTGTTACTTAACCTATTATACATACAATACACAAAGAATTGCAATGTATCAATAATACATCTATATAACATGACAGCTAATATTCGTACATAACACACATAGAAGTACAATACAATGTGTCAATTAACTTTTATGTACGTTTGCATGGGGCTAGATATTCGCATAAAACATATAAAATACCAGTATCTATGCCCTCGACTCCTTTAGCTAAAAACACATCTTCAAGATCATTCAAATACATGCTAAATAAAAATGGGGACAGGCTCTCACCTTGTCTTACTCCTAAATTACAAGTAAAAGCTTCACTTATATTATCAAAATGTTTAACTCTTGAGGAAATGCCTTCATATATGCTCTGTATAACTTTGAGAATATTACCAGTCACTCCGTATTTTATTAATTTGTACCACAGTACATCTCTAACTACGAAATCAAAAGCTTTTTTAAAATCAACAAAGCTACATATAGCTTTAATTTTTTTCAAACAATGTGAAATAAGAGCATTTAAAATAAAAACATTATCAACAGTACCCATATTTTTTCGAAAACCTGCCTGGGCCTCTACACAAACACCAAAGGAATCAGCCCAGTTATCTAATCTAGTATTCAATATTCTAGTAAATAATTTTCCGAGAGAACTTAACAATGTAACACCTCTATAGTTCGATGGTTGATCAACATCACCACATTGAGTAAACTTGTGCCTCAAAACCCATGGGTCGTGGGCCGAGTCCTATCTTTTTTACTAATATGTTTTCTAGTACGAAGCATGAACGTAATTTGACTACTGTGATTAGAAAAATTTCTTCGCCGTAGGAGGTGGGGATGTAAACGTAAAATAAAACCTGTTTTTTTCTCTTAAGTATATTTTTGTCATTTTAAGGAAATGAATTTCAATAAAATTTCATAAATTACTCATGATTGTTAAATATGTATAAAGATGCAATGCATATAAGAAAAATTAAGATATGTTGACATACATATGTACAGTATATACTGCAGTTGACATACACATATGTACAGTATATACTGCAGTTGACACATACATATGTACAGTATATACTGCAGTTGACATACACATATGTACAGTATATACTGCAGTTGACATATACATATGTACAGTATATACTGCAGTTGACATATACATATGTACAGTATATACTGCAGTTGACATATACATATGTACAGTATATACTGCAGTTGACATATACATATGTACAGTATATACTGCAGTTGACACATACATATGTACAGTATATACTGCAGTTGACATATACATATGTACAGTATATACTGCAGATACATTTATACCCAGCGTTCCTTGTAGCCTTGGATTAAGTCAATCTATAACAAGTTCTGTTAAACAGTCAAGTGATATACGATTATGATAAATTCCAATAACGTTTAATAAACAAGTCTGTCAGCACCAATTCTATGATTAGCGTTGACGTCTGACATCGAATGTACATGCGCGATAAATGTAAAGAGATGATCGATTCATTTCGGATTTCTTCTGTCTTTATCGGTTATATGCGACTCTTCAAACATAATAGCAAACATCCTCATGTCAGCATTAAAACTTTTTCTGCTCTTCTCTAGCAAGGACTCCTCGCTGAATATTTCGCGTAGCACGTTTTTCTCGTGAGATTCCGTTTTAAATGTAACCTGAAAATAATTTTCGAACAATTTTATTTTTGCTTCAAGTTTGAACCAGTCATCAACGATCGAATAAGACTTTACCCCAGTCTAATATTGCTATGTCCCCAGATATGCACAGATTTTTATTTCTCAAACACGCAGCATTTTTTGTGTCCTAATTTAGTTTCTTAAACGTTTCTACCTTAACTTTCTGTTGCTTTTGTGCAGTAAGTACAGTTATAGTGATTTATTTAGTACATGTATTTTGTATGGAGGTCAAAATAATACATTTTGCGTCTTTTATGACAAATAATGTCACATTCAGTGTTAATTTCTAAGTAATAATCATTTAAAATACACTTTAAAAGTAATTTAAACATTATAAAACTTACGTTTGCCATTTCTAAAGAAGAAGAAAAAAATCGGCATAATGTGCCTTTAACCTTCCACTGCCGTTGTTGCGACTTTTCAACATGTAGATTTTAATGGTATATTTTATTTGAATAAAGGAATTTTATGTAGAAATTACCATAGTAGGAAACTTAATAATCAAATTTTGCTGAAAAAAAAATGACTGACATGCCTTAATACGTTTTTTTACCGCTTTACCACTTACCTTGCTCGTGGCATTTTCTTGTGTGGCGCTGTTTCGTGGCGACATGGCGCCATCTTCCCCATCCCGACTTACGTCACTCGCACTAGCTGTCGTACCTTTCAGTTACAGAATTTAATTAAAATTTAAAACCCTGCATAAGTAATTTTAAACATTTATTTTTTTTTAATATACTCACTTTTTACATTTGGCAAAGGGAAAAGGGAAACTCAAGGAAGCCCCATTAATTTTCCTAACCAGGGGAGTAAAAACACCCCGGAAATGAATTTTTTTTGCCCCGAAAATTTGCCCCGGCCGTTAGGGTTTGAAAAAATTTGGGTTTAAAATTTGGGAAAATTTTTTAAATCAAAACTTGTAATGTTCGAAGCCCCAAATGGTAACCCGGCCCTTTAAAATGGGGGAGAGTCAAGTAAAAATTTTAAAATAAAACCTTTGTCAAAGTTTTGGTAAAAAAACCCAAAGAAAATTTCCCATTTGGGGGATCACTTTTTTGGTCTTTTAAACCTAGAAATGGGGTTTAAAAACGGCCTCTTTGGACTGTCCCCGGGGGCCCACAATCATGGCAATGGGCATTGCTGTACTTGAGCCACCGTCTACATTGCGTATTGGGTCGCATTTCAACAAATGAACTAATAGGTGTTCATTAACTACTCGAGGTATATATATATGTCTTTAAGATAATATTTACAAGAAACTTCAGCATGGGTCTTAATTATATTGTGTGCACGAAATAAAATCCTCGTAAACCATCAAAATCAATAGGGGCCACCTACTGGTCATGGTCAATGTTTTATGATTTTTTTTTAATTTATTGATCAAATGAGGATATTATACAAAGAGTCACTGTGACCTTGAGCGAATGACTCAATGTCAAACTTTTTCCTTAAGTACTGATCGGACAAGGAGTGTACGTGTATATTTTGTACAAATGTCACTGTGTCAGTGATCTGGTCTGCGGACCATATGCAATGTTCCTACACACCTTAAATCTAATGACCTCACAATCAATAGGAATCCAAGTGACATTCACCATGACTTAGACCTTCTCAAGTTATTGATAGACAAGGATAACAGGAATACGGACAGGCCACCATTTTTACAGTATGTGCCTTTTTCTTTGATATTTCTAAATATGGCATTTTCCCACATAAACCAATTAAATCTACCACTTAAACCAACGGTATAATTAAGTTTTTTTGCAGGATTGACCGTCGGATCTTTGCCCGACCCATTACAGTATGCTCCCCACCATAAAAAATCGCATCCTCATATGTTAATTGCTTTTAAGACACAGAAATTTAGATGAAATGAAAACGTTTATATTGCAAAATACATGAATGTATTTTTTTTAGACATTATTTTGAACTTATAAACGTAGATGGCGTGGAAATGGAAAAACAAATACATTCGATGAAATCGCAAAAAAAAAACAAGCTTCCATTAAGCATACATTGCCACGGACGTTTAAAAATCTTTTGTTTTGAGAAATTACTTTCAATGGATTTGTGCAGTTGCAGTTATATTACATATGCATTAAAGTAAAAATAAATAAGCAAGTATTTATTTAGGAAATAAAGTAAAATAAGTATTTAGTATTTACATTTATTTCGAGATGTGATGCTTACCTATTTTGTCTGTTTCTGATCCCAGAACATAAAAAAAATCCTTAAAATATATTTCCCTATTTCAGTCTATATGTGCGTGTCAGTCCAGCGTTCTTTATCAGTATTATACAGTTCTTATCTTGTTTACTAAACGCTTTATAGATAAATCCATAGATATACAGTTTTTCTATATATTTTACGTCGATAAGATAAAAAAGAAATATAAAATGTAGTATGCAAATGCTGAAAAAATTAAACGCGTAATTGTTGATAATATTTCCTCTTTTGGTGTAATTCAATTCTTTTTGTTAATTCCACTATTGTAACACAGACAATGATAGATTTTTGTCTATACATTATCTTATCTTATAATATCTTATATATTTAGCCGTCTTTTTTTAAGGAAATGGGTTAACGGCAAATTAGATATTTTTTAAAAACAGAAAATAAAACGTAAATATTCTTTTCGGTCGATTTCCATTTCCTTACTTTAACACCCCAGATTTATTGGGGCAATTATGCGCAGTGCAAAAATAAAACTGAATGACTAGGAAAAATAATATAAACCCTGAAAATATGTAAAATTTAGATCAATTAAATGCATAATGATTTAAACATGCAATAAATACAGAGATAAAATACCGAACAACTGTAGGCTGCTTATTTCCCCCTGTTTTAATGCTACATGTATTTATCAAATCTTCGAAAAATGGGGGACTAAGAAGGAATAAATTTATGGTCAGTGAAGTTTTCCCAGTTCACAAAGAATTAAATTCAAACGAATTTTAACACGGAAAAAAACAAGAGAATCTAATATATTCTAAATGTATCTATCTATCTATTTTCCATATAGTCAAACCCCTGCTGGGGACCTAGACTTGACGCGCGTCAACTGACAAGAATGTTAGTAAAAGAGCTGAAATAAAAGAATATAAAAGTAATGGAAATGAGTATATTGTTAAAAACAGGTTAAAAAACAAAAAAAAGGTATTTTAGGGAGATGTATGTTCAATCCGGCATGTACATGTATAATAAAATGTCAATATTTCGCTTAAACTTTAAGGCCGTATTGCTTTTCTTGGTTGTTTTTAGGGGGATTAGCACTCCTCAAATTTCGAGACCGATCGCCGGTATATACCTATATAGGCTTCAAAATAACAGTACCTATACCATTTTCTGCAACCTCGTCATCACTGTGGCTATCCCAGTCGTTCTCTGTCTCGTCACGGTCACTAATGTTACTTTCAGGTACACTTAAACAAATTCCCATGGTTTACCATATGAAATTTTAATGATGCTTCATCTGACGCCGTTGTTATGGTGACGTCATTTATTGGTGACGTCATAGACGTTTGCTCGAATTATGATTATGGGATTGACACTATCGTCTTGAAATTGAAATGTCAGGGACGTGCCCCCTTTCAATTCATTTTGCACGAGAACATTACATAAGTTGAATAACAAGATTATTCCTCGAAGAAATTAAATAAAACATTCAGAGTGTTGTTTCATAAAATGTTCATATTTTTATCTACAATAGACTGAGAAACAGATCAATAAAATGAATAACAAGCAAATGAGAAAAAATATAATTATATGAAATGTTTCTATGGCATGGATAACATTTCTGATATGGCAAATTGTAACGGAATCGTAAAAAACGTCACTGTAAGGTGATTAAAATATATATAGGCTATAGGCTATTTAGAAAATTATAAATGTCCTATATAATGAAAAAATGTCGTAAACGGGAGTAAAATGATACAATTAATTATTAAAAACTTACTTCCCGCCAATTTAATTGATTTATGGGAAGTAATACACTGGAAGAATTTTGCCTTTTTATTCTAGTTATCTCCCTTTGTAACATTAAAGCATCCCCATTGTATAAAAAATATCGTCTATTTTGCTGGCTCAAACAAACATACTGTGACATATTGAGATCACAGGTGGCAGTATCAGTGTTAATACACCCCACCCCTATAGTTATAGAAATCTATAACTATAATTTTGATAGTGGAAAAAAAATTATATAATTTTATCGGTGGTTTTGTATTTGGTACCTTATAGTAAGCCTTAGAGTGTTGAATTATTTTTTTCAGGGTTGTAGTAGGGGTCCAGGGGCAGATAGGAGTGGGGTGTCTAAACACTGATACTGCCACCTGTGATTGAGATCTAACAAGATCGTTTTTTGTACCGACAATGCGAACATACAAATTCAAGAAAATACGTTAATTATATCATTGAAACTATCACTTTTATTATTTTTATATGCTTTTTTATTTACCCAAAGATTATATGTTTCTGTAATGATGACAAGTCCGTGTTTGTGATTGCTTTTTTCTATATTTACTGAGCCAACATGTCTAAATATTTACACACACAGATTTGCAACTAAGGTCATGGACTGATCGTAGGCCTACTTAATACTAGCTTACCATATATTTGGAGTCACATTTTAATCATGTTTGAAAAGAATTAGAAGATTACATATACATATTATGAACATATTAATAACTATAAGCAATCCCCTTGATTTTTTATGTTTTTAACATAGATTAGACGCTAATCATTCAATTATAGTTTATATATATAAAATAACGTAAGCTTCTGGATCTGTGACTTGTATACATTTGATCGAATTTGCGAGGATATGATAGCATTAGGAGCGCTTGACCAGAGTAGCACGAATAGCGTTTGGCCAACGTATCACGAAGTGTGTTTGGCCATGGTAGCACGACGCACATATGACTATAGTATAGCACGAGACACATTTGAATATGATAGCACGATGTACATTTGACTAGGATTGCACGGGATACATAAAAAGGAAAGCACGGGGCACATTTTCGTACGGCAACAAGAGGCACATTTGACAAGGATAGCATCAGGCACATTTGACTAGGATTGCATTGGGCATGTTACAATAGGAAAACACGAGGCACATTTTCATAGGGTAACACTATTTGACTAGGGACGCACGATACACATTTGCCTATTTGCCACAAAAATTCGATTTCCAGTTTATTCCGAGTACATTTCTTAAATATCTTTTGGATATCTTTCTGTTTTAGTGCCCAAGTTGATCTTTGTAAGAAATCAAATTTTATGTTTTTAGGCTTTTGGACCTCCGTGGAGTTCCTTTAATACAACGAATATTCGGTTCTGTCGGGTCGGGTTCTTTGTATAGGCATTGAACGCTACAAAATATTTACAGCAAAACTGTAATTTTGTGAATGACATGTGAGGTACTAAATGCGTCCGTTATTTCACCTATTCTCACAAGATAGGCCCAACTTAAATTGACAAAATGTTAAAAAATGAACTTGTTTTTTATCAAATTTTTATTACATAGATGGTTAAAGAGATATGTGTCTGACAAATTGGGGAAGTTACAGCACTCAAACTCCATTATTTACCTGTATAACAGTCCACTGGAAACAAAATTGAGTAAACTTTTTTGCAAAATGGTAATTTACGCGTTACCTTAACTAAAAATAAACCAATGGTCATATTAAAGATATTTGATATATTCTATAAAATGCACTTGATACAGATAGTCACTTCGATAAATAATTTGCCAAAGTAACATAACATATTTTATGCAAAAGGTTTTAATAAAACCGTACACCAAGCTTAACTTTTTCATTTATGTTGGGTTGAATATTTCTGGAAAATATGATCATCAGTAATAATAGCTACATAAACAAACTCATTGTTGTACTTATTTAGCTGATTTTATTATGAATTATAAGCACCAAAATATTAACATACAACAGTATTTGACTTTGAAAAATATTTTGTATGCAGCATACACCAATACAAACACAACTAGGAAATGGTAACGTAAATTACAAAGTATGCACCTTTAACTGGGCAACAGCAAAAAACTCAAAGATTAAAGATAAAATGACAGCTATGTTTCATTTTTTTTGCTTTTGAATAATCTTAGATGTAATTATCAGTTATAAGTTTTCATCCGTACTGAGATTAAATTTTATGAAAAAAAGGTTTATGCTCAAACATAAATTCATTTTTTTTTTATCCATTTCTTCTTAACAAAACTCAAAATAGCTTAAGTCCGTTTATAGTTAAATATCTTCGGTTTGTGAATGCCATTAAGACATTATCGGTTTTTTTATCATATTAATAAAAAGTTATTATAAAAATATAAACAAAGCCTATGATTGTTGGTTTAAAAATCTGTTACTTTCAAGACCAAAATTAAACAAATAATGAACCAAAGTTAAAAGAATTGAACCGAGTTATGGTAACGCGTTAAATTACCGTTATATTCAAGGGATTTTTTATATATGTTTGAACATGGTCAAACAAAATAAAATGTTTGATGTCCGGAGCTATTGCAAAAAGAAATATAAATTAATTCATAAATTGAAATAGAAAAGTCTGTTCAAACGCATAAGAAAATCTTTAATTTTTAAACATGATGTTTATTGAAAGTTAAAAACGAAAAACAAAAAACAAAAAAAACAAAGGATTTGTTTGAAACAAAGCCGTACAATCATTTATTTAAAGCGGCCTTCAGTTTATATAAAAGTCAAATAAAAAAAATATGGTGGAAAATTATATTTGCCATCATAAATTATAGAATCAATAATTAAACTCCTGGATTCCTCTAATTTATATGTCCGCTATCTATTTGTATATTAGTAAAGCGTGTGATTCGTTTTCCGATTTTCTATTTTTAGAAACGAACATCACCGGCGTTCTATAAAATTTAGCTCTTGAAACACTGTTTTAAAGTAGTCCTTACAGTGATATGTTGCACTTTTCTAAGATAAAATTACTGAAATACTTAATTTGGGAAAAAAAAACATTTTCGAACAAAAGTGAAAGCTGAATGTCGCGCTTTAAATTTATCTTATCTCTTCCTCTTTTAACCTGAAAGAGCGCACATAACAACTAACTTTGGATGACTCATCTATGCCAGAAAAACCGTCTTCTAACTTGACACAAATCTTGTCGGCATTGTTTGGCCAATTGAAAGTTGGTGCTTTAACCCCTTTACATTTTCGATTTTGCTAGTATGAAACAAGAAAATCGTCATCAGCTACGACAACCTCTTCAATCAGTCCAAGGTACCAATGTGCCTAACTACTATTTTCGTGTTTCCGGGTGCTTGAACGTACACAATTTTCATCATCGACAATCAGTCTGTCTTCATCTTGAACACAACCAGACCAATTAATGTATTAACTTATATTTGTGTCTCAAGCTCTTTCATTCTGTGTCAATTTCTGGACATATTATTTTCGGGCATTCTATGTTCTGGTCGCTAAAGTCCCCCCCCCCCCCATCTATCTTTTAACTGTTGTAGCTCAGTATGATTTTGTTCTTTTTCTTTCTTTTTTCAAGTTATTTTACTCCTTATGTTGATTTTTTCCTCCCACAAAAGGCTCGCTGTATTTCAGCATATGATATACCCATTCTTGCTGAAACAAAGAAAAAGTAATCTACGTTACTTATTTTGTAATCAACGTTACCATTTTTAGAAACCATTTATTTATGCCTAAATTACAGTTTTTTCTCCAGGAACAAACAGAGTTATTACATTAAACTACCATATAATGATCTACAATATAGGAACATGTCAAATATTTGGAGAAGAACTACTTATTGGTGTTGCAGATATCACAAGTTGATATTTTTGTAATCTACGTTACCAACATTGGTATCACATTTGTTACACCTTTATAAAATCTTAGATGATCTGGTATAACACAGATAACATACATGTATCTGTGTAGATCACATATGACAAAAAACTTTATGAACAAAATCTTTTGGTAAGTAAAAATGGACACCAAAAAAAGGATTTGTTAAAAACTTAGTGGGCCATAACGTAACTAATATATGCAATAAATGTTTGAATTATAAGTGTACAGGATTAATTTCATTGAAATTAAAGATGTATACTTCAATTATAATCTTAAAACTATAATAAAAACATTTTTATCACTTACCTTGTTGAACTTTCCTAAAGATAACTGGAACTCAGTAATATAGTGATTCTACGCGGAAATTGCAAATGCAAATGGCGGAATATGTGGCAAATTTAAAATAAAGGGAAACTAACTATGTGTATATTGATCTAGAAGTTTATATAACGGAACCTTGAAACAGCTGAACATGATCTCGGACAGTAAAATCAAATTATTTGCAGGAATTGAAAAAACCGTGGTAACGTTGATTACATCTCGTAGATTACATTTTTATTGTCATGAGCATGAATTTTTTTACAAACAATCAACTTTTACAAAATAAAGAAATATTGAATGTTTAATAAGTCTAATCTAATTGATAA